ATCTCACCATTCTAGTTTTTTTCTTTCTTTCTTTCAGTAAGTGTTTATTTCTTTTAAAAAAATCATTTTATTGGGGGCCGTACAGCTCTTAGCACAATCCATCCATCCATCCATTGTGTCAAGCACATTTGTACATTTGTTGCCATCATCATTCTCAAAACATTTGTGTTCCACTTGAGCACTTGGTATCAGCTCCTCATTTCCCCCCCTCCCTCCTTCATGAACCCTTGATCATTTATAAATTACTATTATTTTTTCATGTCTTACACTGCCCGATGTCTACCGTCCTTGTTTCTAAGGAGCATTCTGACTGTACTTAAGGAGCATTCTGACTGTACTTAAGGAGCATTCTGACTGTACTTTCATGACAGATCTATTTGTTCTTTTGCCCATTTATGGTACTTTCAATAATCCTCATTAGCACGGTAAGTCAAATGCCTTGGGTCTTCTATAGCCTTCCTTCAATGTCCAACTTTCACATGCATCTGAAGCAACTGAAAATACCACGGCTTGGGTCAGGCACACCTTAGTCCTCAAAGTAACATCCTTGCTCTTCAACACTTTAAAGAGGCCTTGGGCAGCAGACTTATCCAACGCATTGTGTTGTTTGTTTTTGGATTGCTGCTTCCATGAACATTGATTGTGGATCTAAATAAGATAAAATCCTTCCATCTTTTCTCCATTGACCATGATGTTACCTATTGGTCCAGTTGTGAGGATTTTGGTTTCCTTGACATTGATTTAAAATTAAAAAAAAATCTATTAAGTATTTTGATTTTCCCAGTACATTTAATTCCAAGGATACTATGATATAAATATACTATATAAACCAATACAGTAGGATGACAAAAATTACATGAGTGGAAGATGATTCTTCAACATTGTGGGGGTAATCAAAGGCCATTAGTAGGCCACTGGAGATCCCCTTGCAGAGGGGTCTCGAGGAGGAGATGAGCCAGTCAGAGTGTGATGTAATAACAATGAAAAATACAACTTTCCTCTAGTTCCTAAATGTTTCCTCCCCGCTCCCACTATCATGATGTGAATTCTACCTTGCAAGTCTGGCTAGACCAGAGGATGTACTCTGGTACAGATAGGAACTGGAAATCCAGGGAATCCAGGGCGGATGAGCAGTGGTGTGAGTGACGAAACAGGGAGGGTAGAGGGAGAGTGGGTAGGAAAGAGGGAACTGATTATAAGGAACTATATGTGACCTCCTCCCTGGGGGACGGACAACCGAAAAGTGGGTGAAGGGAGACATCGGACAGGGAAAGATATGACAAAATAACAATTTATAAACTATCAAGGGCTCATGAGGGAGGGAGGAATGGGGAGGGAGGGGAAAAATGAGGACCTAATGCCGGGAGTTTAAGTGAAGAGAAAATATTTTGAGAATGATGAGGGCAATGAATGTACAAATGCACTTTACACAATTGATGTGTGTATGGATTGTGATGAGTTGTATGAGCCCCTAATAAAATGATTAAAAAAAAAAACACATTGTGGGGGTAAAATCAAAACCAAACTCACTGTCACCGAGTTGATTCTAACTCAAAGTGACCTTACAGGACAAGGTAGAACTGTCCCCTGTGGGTTTTTGAGATTGTAACTCTTTATGGGAGCAGAAAGCCTCATCTTTCTCCTGTGGAGTGGCTGGTTGTTTTGAACTGCTGACCTTGTGGTTAGCAGCCCAATGCGTAATGGAGCAGACTAAAATGATAAAAATGACAGTTTAACAATTGATGTTAAACACTGGTCGAATTGGGCTCAAGTGGGAAGAGAATGGTTTGAACATGATGATGGCGGCATATGTGCACAGGTGCTTGACACACTGGAGGAATGTATGGATTGTGATAAGAGATGTAAGAACCCCCAATAAAAGTATTTTTTAAAAAGACAACTGGTCAAAAGGGGTTGAATCCAGACTATATCCAAATTTTGAAGCATCATTTCTAAACTGTGAGCACACAGCAGACGGGGTTAACCCCCACGGTCTTTGCTTTCTCCAGGGAGATTGTGGATGTGTATTTTGCAGATCCAGGCAAACGCACACATGCAAGGATTTCTTTTCTAGGACTGCTAGTAATAGCGAATGATTGGAATCTAACTACAGCAATAGAGAACTGATTAAATAAATTAATAGTACTACATTCAACTTTGAAATACAGTGTGGGTGTTAAAAATATCATGAAAGCTTTCTACATACTTACGGATATGGAGATATATTTAAGAGGTATTGCTAGATGAAGAAAAACAACACGAGGATCAGTATGGAGCAGTGATGGATCAGTCGTAAAATTCTTGCCTTCCATATGGGAGACCTGGGTTTGATTCCCGGCCATTGCCCCTCATGGGCAGCCACCTCCCATCTGCCAGTCGAGGCTAACCGGTTTCAGTGGAGTTTCCATACTAAGACTGAGAAGAAAGGCTGGTGATGTACTTCTGAAAACCAACGAGTGGAAACCCTTGGGATCTCAGCGGCCTGACAGAACCAGGCAGCGCTTCCTTCCTTTCTGCCTGGGGGTACCTTCAATCGAGGCTGGCTCAATGGGAGCTACCAACAACAGCAGCAACAATCAATGGGTATCGTGTGCAATATATGCTCAAAAATATCATTAGCTGCTTCTGGGAAGGACACCGGGGGATGGATTAGGGGGGAAAGCTTATTTTTGTTAATGTAATATAACTGTTATATCCATGTACATGATAGAGATACATGAGGGGGCTTCTAAAATGTTGTGGAAAATTATCTTTCAATTCTACTTTTCCATGAACTCTTTGAAGCCCCTTGTATTTAGTTACTTAATTATCAAATGAAACGTAAAAACTTCTGAATTAACATATACTGAGGAAATAACCAGAAATCAAGATGGAGATTCAACTATAAAGGTATTCATAACATTACTATTCATAATAGTGAACGCTTGTATGTAATATAAAATAATTTTCCAAATGGAGCTGCTAAATGCATTTCCAGGTACAACCCTGTAAGGACTGATGCATCTGCTGGAAAAATGCTTTCAAAGATTTCTTTCTTTCTTTTTTAACAATACAGTGAAGCGAAGAAGGAAGGGCAAAGCCCAAATCGTGTAAATGGTACTGTCACAGCTGTGTTAGAAAAGAGCATGCGCATGTCTCTAATAGACTAACTAGAGACCTGCCCAAAAGTAAACTGTTAGTCTCTGGCTAATGAGACTGTGATTTTTATGTTGTCCTTTACAATTTTCTAAAACAGGTTTGTATTACTTAAACAAAAACTAAATAGTGGTGGAATTGTTTTTGACTCATAAGAATAAGGACTATGAGAAAATATATATTTAAAAACAACATTAGATTTAATATGGAAGCTAAAATGGTGTTCTCAAAAGAGGAGTTGCACAACCATGTCTCTGGTCAGCACTCTTTCTTATTGCCAACTGTACCATAAATGGTAGTGATATCTAATAGAAGTAGGAGCGATGGGCTGCTAACCACAAGGTCAGCAGTTCAAACCCAGTAGCTTCTCTGAGGGATAAAGACAAGGCTATCTACTCTTGCAAAGAGCTGTCTTGGAAGCCCAATTGAAGGAGGTTTTGGTTTGGGATCTAATAGGAAGAATGAATTAAAATTAAGAATACAGA